TTCACCATGCTGACCAGGGTGGTCTCGATCTCTTGACCTCGTGATCCACCCGCCTCGGCCTCCCAAAGTGCTGGGATTACAGGCTTGAGCCACCGCGCCCGGCCTAAATTTCTTTCTTTCTTTTTTTTTTTTTGAGATGCAGCTTCGCTCCCGTTGCAGGCTCAGTGGAATGTCCCGATCTCGGCTCACTGCCACCTCCACCGGCCTCCTGGGCAGAGCAATTCTCCTGCCTCAGCCTCCCACGTGGCTGGGATTACAGGCTTGTGCCACCACGCCTGGCTAATTTTGTATTTTTAGTAGAGACAGGCTTTCTCTATGTTGGTCGGGCTGGTCTCCAACTCCTGACTTCAGGTGATCCACCCGCCTCGGCCTCCCAAAGCGCTGGGATGACAGGCGTGAGCCACGACAGCCGGCCACCTGTTTAAATTTCTTACAAAAGTCATGCCATACTTTGGTCCACGGTTGGAGGGGCGGGGGAAGGGGAGGGGGAGCCTTTTGGGAGCGCAGCCGGGGTGGGGGTACCGCGTCGGAGAGCGGAGTGGCCGGCCCGTCGTGGAGCCCCACAGACTCTCTGGGCCGGCCGTGCGTCCACCGGGTCAGACCCTGGAGAGTGGGACCGCCCGGATTCGGGAAGCGGGTGACGGGGGGCCCCCGTCCGCCCAGCCGTGGGAGCAGCTCGGACGACTGCCCGTCCTCCGCGGGCTCGGGGCTGCGGCCCACCAGAAGGCGCGGAGGTGAGGCTGGCGCCCCGCGATCCCGGGCGGTCTCCGAGCGCTCCCAGCGGGGACAGGACCCTCCGCCGCCCCCTCGCTGCGCCCGCGGACTCGGGCCCGGGGGACCCCCGGGCTGCAGCCTCCTCCCCGCCCCGGAAGGCGGCAGGGCTCGGGGGGCCCGCCCAGTCCGCGCGTCGGGCTCCGCCCCTCGCTGGAAAGGCTGCTCTTCAGCTCCGGAGGTGCCATCCCGGGCCGTGACTCCGCTCCAGGCGGGGCCCCCGACCTACCCGGCGCGCTCCGCCTGCGACCCAACGCGGCCGCCCCCAGACCCGTTGCCCGCGCCGCGCCGGAGGCCCGCGCCCCGACGGACGCCAGCGCCCCGCTCCCACGCCCTCGCGCGGCGCCCCCGACCGCGGAGGGCTCCCCGAGGTGCGGGCGGACGGGGGCGCTAGCCGCTCAGGCTGCCCCAGCCTACCTGGCTCACCGCCACCTCCCCTGCAGCCCTGCCCGCCATGGCCCGGATCCCGACGGCAGCCCTGGGTTGCATCAGCCTCCTCTGCCTGCAGCTCCCCAGCGTGCTGTCCCGCAGCCTGGGCACGGACCGGCGTCCCGTCAAACCCAGGTGAGTGCGGGTCTTGGGTCAGCCCGCCCCTCGGGCCCCCCTGCCGGGAAGCAGAGTGCAGGGGGCATGGGTGCCGCCCTCCCTCCATCCCCACCTACTGTTAGGGCTCAACTCCTAGGCGAAGGCCCCCCCACCCAGGCCTTCCGCAGGCCTCAGCAGGGCCAGAGGCTCTTCTTTCTCTTTCTCTGCACTCTATACAGGGCAGTTGCTTCTACACACACACACACACACACACGCATGCACGCACAGCAGCCCCTCACTTGGGGCTGTGTGCTGGGGGAGGGGAGGCTGGCGATATCCCCAGGCCCGTCTGTGACCACCCTAAAGGGAGAGCAGAGGCCGAGTCACCCTGAGCCCTGAGAGTCGTGACCGGCAGAGGCTGGGCCTCCGGGTGCCCTTTGCCCAAGGAGGTGCTAGCTCCCGGGACATGTGACCCAGGCCACTGAGATGGTCCCGGGGACCGGGCTTCCCCTGGCGGTGCTCCAGGGTGTGTGTGGGTGGGTGGGGGCCGTGGGCTTCCCCTGGCAGTGACCCAGACCCACGTAAAGGCAAACGTGGGTAGGTTTGGGGTCTCCAAAAGTCTGAGTCATTGAGTTGACATTCTCCATCTGCTTCTGCAGGGAGGTCCCAGTCCGGACTTCCAGCGGCCTGCAGCCCAGTCACCCCGCATCCCGACCTGTGATCTGGAATCTTCACCAGGCCCTCCAGCCACAAAGGGGTGCCAGCCTGGCCCTTGCTATGGGTCAGCCTCTCCGAGATGGTGGTCGCCAACACTCGGGCCCCCGAAAACACTCGGGCCCCCGCAGGCCCCGAGCCCAGCTCCTTCGGGTGGGCTGTGTACTGGGCACCTGCCAGGTGCAGAATCTCAGCCACCGCCTGTGGCAGCTCATGGGACCGGCTGGCCGGCAGGACTCAGCTCCTGTGGACCCCAGAAGCCCCCACAGCTATGGCTGAGGTGGGGCTGGGCCACACCACTGCCCATCCCAGCCAGGGTGCTATGCCCCCGTCCAGAGCTGCAGGTGGGCCCCATCCCCAGCTCAGTCCTTCAGAGCTGCAGACAGCAGGGCCTGCAGCAAGAATACCTGCACAGCTTTGCACACATAAACCCTTGCACACGTGTAGACCGAGGCTGGTCTACATGCAGTGCTGGTACGTCAAGGAGCCTGAACACCCTGAAATTGTGAGCACTCGGGGGACGGCTGCCAGACACAGCTGGTGGCAGCACCAGATGCTAAAAAGACTTCCGAGACATGGAGCTGAAGCCAGACCCTGAACACACAGGGCCACCCCTGGGCCAGCAGGGGAGAGAGGCTGAATTGGCCGGAGTCGCCCCTCCGCTGCTGGTCCTGTCAGACTGAAGCCCGGCCTTGTGCCTGGGCTGTTCCTGCTCTCATGCATGACCAGCCCTTCCACATGCCTGCCTGGCCCAGGGTCCCAGCCTCTTCCTCCCCAAGTCTTTGGGACAGGAGGGGAGTTGGGTCAGGAATGTTGTGGCCCCTGGGATTGGGTGAGGGGATGGTGGCCCTCCAGATGTCATAAAGGGACCTCCATGGCTCCAGCTGCCAACTCTGGAGCCCAGACTGAGGTGGCCATGGAGACCCCACCTGGATCCCCTGTGGGAGGCCAGGGAGGGGACCTTAGAAGTTCATGAGCCACCCCAAGCCATTCTGGGACAGGGACACCCCTTCCTACACCAGTACAGGGCAGGGCTGGGTAGGGCATGATCCCCCAGCCCAAATAGACGCACCTCACCTCAAGGGGGTGAGACCCTTGTTGGCAGCCAGACGAGGGTGGGGCTCCACAGGCAACACAGGCCCCCCACCACCACCCGGTGTGGGGAACCAGTGGGACCAGGTGTGGGGGCAGCAGTCGACTTGCCAAGAGCCAAGGAGGGCAGCCCCACCCCAAATGACAGCAAGAACAAAAACCACGGCCGTTCTGCCCCGGGGAGATGGGCAGCTTACACTGTGTGCCACTCAAGCTTCCCATTCATCCAGCAGAATCCGGAGTTCAGAAAGGGTTCCTTCTGCTACAAGGCAAATGCTCAGCATTTAATTTGCAAATGTTTGCTAGGGTCACCCTCTTGGCCACCCCATGAGGGTCACCATGATCACCCCAGTTCTAGAGGCCGCAGCACAGGGCTCGGGACATTCCCCCACAGAGCTACCCCTCAGCTCTTGCCTCAAAGTGGGAGGGTCCTGGCCGTGCCCACCCAGGTGCCGCCTTATGCTTGCTCCCCTAGCTCAGGGATCGCCAGGTCCGGGTAACTGACCTGTGCTCCAAGATGCCCTGTGGGAACAGTCCAGGCTGGTCCTGCCCTGTGGAGGCCTCCATGCCCTGCGAGATGGACTAGGATTGCAGCAGAGGTGGCCGGGGTGGTGGCTCACACAGCAAGGCAGTCGAGGCCGGCTCCCTGGGAGCAGTACTGGCTCAAGTGAGGTCTGAAGCTAGCAGGGCTTCCCTCGGGGAAGGGGTGCCTTGGGAGTGCCGAGGCCCAAGGTGCACAGGAGGCATGGCTGCCAACAGGCTGCAGGGTAGAGGGGCCTCGGCCTCAGGGTCATGTGCCCTGTGGCCACTGAAGGGTGTCAGCAGAGTGTAGGGCATGAGGACAGAGGGAGGGGCATGGGGAGTGAAGGAGGGGGGCCTGGGCCAAGCTAGGGGCTCAGAAGATCAGCATCCCCTACTCAGCCCAGCCAAAACCCTCCCAGACGTGTCCTCTCCTGCCTGGGCAAACTCCAGTTTGGCACCACATCCAGGGCCTGCCTGTGGTCAGAGCCGTGTTCCCTCCTCCATGAAGGCTTTCACCCTCCCTATGCCCTCAGGAGGCCGCCTGCTGTGACCTTCCGTGTCACCTCTGGTGTGAAGCCAGACCCACCTGATGCCCTCACCTGGAGGCCTGGCAGTGCCTAAACCCACCCCCACCTTCCCCAGCAACCACTTCCTGCTGTTCCAGCCAAAACCTCCTCTTGGCCGGTCTGGTGGCTCACACCTGTAATCCCAGCACTTTGGGAAGCCGAAGTGGGTGGATCACCTGAGGTCAGGTGTTCAAGACCAGCCTGGCCAACATGGTGAAACCCCACCTCTACTAAAAATACAAAAAAAGCTGCACATGGTGGCACATGCCTGTAATCTCAACTACCAGGGAGGCTGAGGCAGGAGGATCACTTGAACCTGGGAGGTAGAGGTTGCAGTAAGCCAAGATCACACCACTGCACTCCACCTGGGCAAGAAGAGCGAAACTCTCTCAAAATAAAAACAATAATACAAAAATTAGCTGGGCGTGGTGGTACATGCCAGTAATTCCAGCTACTTGGGAGCCTGAGGAAAGAATCATTTGAGCCCAGGAGGCAGATGTTGCAGCAAAAAAAAAAAAACAAAAAAACCTCCTTTCTTCCCTCACACCTTCCTCTGAATCCTACTGGTCCCACCTCATGAACCTATCCGACACCTTCTCCTGAAGCAGGCACCACCTGCTTTGGGAGCGATGGCTGTAGCCCCCTCCCTCTGGCCAGTGCATGCTGAGCCTGTGTGACCCAAGCTTGCTGGGACACTTGAGGATACCGCCGTGCCCTGCCGGGCTGACGTTCTAGGAGGAGATAGAAGGAAACAAACATAGAAGTCAGAATAAGTAGGTGACGGAGCGTCGGGAGTGCTGAGCGCCATGGGGAGTCAGACAAGGAAGGAGAGTCCAGGGCAGGTTGCCATTTAAGCGGGGGGCGCTGGGGTCTATCCATGGTTCCTTCTCAGCTCAGTTGCACCAGGATCTTGTTGAGTCAGGTCAGTTCCCCACTGCCCTCTCTCCTGCCCCAGCTGACTGCTGTTTCCAGACTTCCCTGGCCACGCTCCACATGCCAGCTCTGCAGCCGGGCACTCTGTTCTCACGCTGTCCTCCCTGCCTGCGGGGCTCATGCATGGGAAGTTGCGTGGGCAGCCTTGGTGTTGGAGGGTTCAGAGCCTGCCCCCTACTCTCCATGAGGCCCCTCTCCCAGTGCCTGATACTCTGGGCCGACGCCCCTGAGTCCTTTCCTCCACAAGGCTTCACCCCGTCCCTGTCCTCGCTGGGCCCGCCGAGCTCGGTTTCAGCAAGAATCCTGCTAAATCAGTTTATGGAGAATTACCCACCCTTGATATCTGATCCAATTCCTCAACTCCCACCTCGATCTCATCACCCTGCCGGCCTCCTGCAGGATCCCCGCTGAGCCGCTCTAGTGAGAACCCCCTACCCTCGAAGGCTCCCCTGACCAAATTCCCATCCGCTGACCCCTTCGATGCCATCAGCCCCCAGCTGTGGTTGTTGAATTCAGAGGTGAGCTCCTCTCACCTCTCTCTTGAATAAAGCTTTTCTCAGCATTTTAACAAGTCCTTAGAATAATATTTTCTTAACAAGCCCCTGCTCCACCCAGAATTATGGGTGCTGAGGGCAAATTTTTAACCTGCTGAGATCCAGTGGGGCAGCTGGGAAGGGGCCACGGCAGAGGGGGGGGTGTGCTTGAGGGTGGGGTCTTTGGTCTGCCCCCACCTATGGGGAGGGACCCCACAGAGGTGTTTAAAGCCATGGGCAAGTCGGAGGCTGGGTCCACAGACAACCCTAAGCAGCTCATCAGCTCAGGACAGGAGGGAAGCTGGCTCAGGGCAAGAGGATGTGGAGCTGCTGGGGGCTGCTCCTGTGCTGACACATTAACTCCCTGAGGCCAGGGGAAAGGTGCATGGTCACTCATTACCATGGTCAGTTATGTAACCTGGGGCGTATATATGAGCCCGGCTGAGGACACACTCGCCAGCCTGCACTTTGCCACCCGAGTGCCGCCCCCTCTCAGGATGAAGGTGATGGTGGTGAGTACCCAGACCCCATGCAGAGAGGCCTCGATGACTGCTCTCCTGGTAGCCAGCTGCTCCCACCCCCTTCCCACTGGTGCTGGGCAGCCCTGCTTGTCCAGGTCAGACGGCTCCTTCCTCCCGGCTTCGGTCCAGCCAGGCAAGAGTCAGCAGCTGCCAACCCCTAGGCTGCTTCCGCCTCTTGAGGGTGCCCACAGGTGCCACTCAGGCATGGTGGCCCCTGCATCCTGGAAGCAGGCGTCTGCTGACATTTGCTCTGCAGATAAGGACCGAGGAGTGAGGGCTCCTGGGACTCTCGGAGGCCGGGGTGATGATGTGGGAGAGGCAGTGCCCTCTTGTGTCCACTACCAGGTCGGGCAGAGGCAGGCTTGGAGTCTGCAGCCACCATGAGAATGTCTGTGCTTCCTTGTGGAGCTGGCATGATGGTGAAATGGGCTCAATCCTCCACCTACCCAGGGCCCAGACCCTTCCCTGGTCTACCGACCTGACATGGACCCAGAGGCGGCCAAAGACAAGGGCATCTTCCGGAACTACACGGTGAGTTCCTTGTCCCACACCCTGGGGCGCAGCACCTGCCCTTCACACAGCTCCAGGGGGTACCCTATGGGAACCCCCACCCCCATCACACCCTGTGGGGCTGCCTGGGAGAGGGTAGGCATGGGGCCCCGTGTGCAGGGTGACGGGGTGGCATCAGCCTCCGATGACCTCTGGCCTGCAGTCAGGTCCCCTCCTGGACCGTGTCTTCACCACCTACAAGCTCATGCACACACACCAGACGGTGGACTTCGTCAGGAGCAAGGTAGGCATTTTTTGCCGCCCCGTGCAACCTCTCAGGGACTCTTGCCCTCAGCCCCATGTGCCCACCAGGCACCTAGGGGATGGAGAGGCCTGTGCAGTGGGCCTGCCCTGCACCCCCGGACAGGCCCTGGGCCTGCTGACCCTGGGCCACGCTGCCTTCTCCTCCACCCCCAGCATGCCCAGTTTGGGGGCTTCTCCTACAAGAAAATGACAGTCATGGAGGCTGTGGACCTGCTGGACAGGCTGGTGGATGAGTCCGATCCAGATGTGGACTTCCCCAACTCCTTCCATGCCTTCCAGACAGCAGAGGGCATCCGGAAGGCCCACCCAGACAAGGGTGAGCCCCCATGCCCCGCTGTGTGGGGGGAGGTGCTGCCTCCAAGGAGGAGAATGCAGGGGCCTGAGGGGTAGAAGGGGACAGTGGGGGTCCCAGGCCTCCTCCAGCAGCCCTGCCTGGGTTGGGGAGCAGGCCCTGGGCCCCACCTAGCTCTCAGCCCCCCAAGCCTGCTTGTCCTCTGTCTTGGCCCCTGCACTCCCCAACTCACCCTGTCCATCTTCCTCCCAGACTGGTTCCACCTTGTTGGGCTCCTACATGACCTGGGGAAGGTCCTGGCCCTGTTCGGGGAGCCCCAGGTAAGGGCTGGTGGCGGGGGGTGAGGAGGTCTGTTTGTCAAGGCCAGGTGGGGGTCAGGGTGGCCTCGGTGCTTGGCCTGGGATACTACATGCAGGGCAGGCCAGTGCCCCCAAGGTCACCTGTCCCTCTGCAGTGGGCAGTCGTTGGAGACACCTTCCCGGTCGGATGCCGTCCCCAGGCCTCCGTGGTTTTCGGCAACTCCACCTTCCAGGACAACACTGACCTCCAGGATCCAAGATACAGGTGCTCCCCGCTGCCCAGGGCTGGCCCCCACCCACCCCAGGCAACTCCTGAGCCCTACTCACCCTCATCTCTCACTGCAGCACAGAACTCGGAATGTATCAGCCCCACTGCGGGCTCGATAGGGTCCTCATGTCCTGGGGCCACGATGGTGAGGCCAGAGGCGGGCAGTGGGGCGGTGGGGGACAGTGGGGTGGAGGTGGTGCCTGGCGGTGACACCATCTCCCCACAGAGTACATGTACCAGGTGATGAAATTCAACAAGTTCTCACTGCCCCCGGAGGTAGGTAGGGGGAGGGGTGACCCCGCCCCATCAGCCTGCCCTGCCAGGTCCCTGCAGCCCTGCCGGTGAGCTGCTGGGTGTGGCCTTCCCTGCAGGCTTTCTACATGATCCGGTTCCACTCCTTCTACCCCTGGCACACCGGCAATGACTACCAGCAGCTATGCAGCCCGAAGGACCTGGCCATGCTACCCTGGGTGCAGGAGTTCAAGTACGGTCACCTCTGGGCAGGTTGTGGGAGTGGCGGGGACTTGGGGGGAGGTCTTCACAGGGCTCACGGCCCCTCCTGGCTGCAGCAAGTTTGACCTCTACACCAAGTGCCCGGACCTGCCAGACGTGGACACGCTGCGGCCCTACTACCAGGGGCTCATTGACAAGTACTGCCCTGGCATCCTGAGCTGGTGACCCTCCTGCCACCCAAGCTGCTGCTGGAGCCAGGCCTGGCCCTCCGCCTGCTTGGAGAGGTCTGGCCCTGAGCAGACAGCCAACATCAGGGTTCACCTCGGTGGGGGACCTCACTCGCCCCCTTAGGGTCACCACCCTTCATGGCCACTTGTGCCTGGTGGCAATAAAGACCTGGAAGGAGACTGTGCTTCTGAAGCATCACTGAGTGTTACTGCAGCAGGGTGGCCTAGGCCGAGGGACCCTGTGGGCAAGGTGGAGGTCAACTCCCAGGCTCTCAGATGTGTGTCCCACCGCACTGGCCATGGTAAACATCTGCTCATCTCCCAGCTCCCATGTTAGAGCCTGGGGACGAGTCACCCAGCTCACCCCTACATGCTCAGAACAGTCACCAAGTCCTCTGGGCTCTGTCCCTTTAAAAAATACCCCTTAATAGACTGGGTGTGGTGGTTCATGCCTATAATCCCAGCACTTTGGGAGGCTAAGGTGAGCAGTTCACAAGGTCAGCAGTTTGAGACCAGCTTGCCCAACATGGTGAAACCCCATCTCTACTAAAAATACAAAAAATTAGCTGGGTGTGGTGGCAGGAACCTGTAATCCCAGGTACTCAGGAGGCTGAGGCAGGAGAATTGCCTGAACCTGGGAGGTGGGGGTTGCAGTGAGCCGAGATTATGACACTGCACTCTAGCCTGGGTGACGAAGTGAGACTCTGTCTCAAAAAAAAAAAAAAAAAAAAAAAAAAAAAAAAAAAAAAAAAAAAAAAAAAGCCGGCCGCGGTGGCTCAAGCCTATAATCCCAGCACTTTGGGAGGCCGAGGCGGGTGGATCATGAGGTCAAGAGATCGAGACCGTCCTGGTCAACATGGTGAAACCCCATCTCTACTAAAAATACAAAAAAAAAAAAAAATTAGCTGGGCATGGTGGTGCGTGCCTGTAATCCCAGCTACTCAGGAGGCTGAGGCAGGAGAATTGCCTGAACCCAGGATGCGGAGGTTGCGGTGAGCCGAGATCGCGCCATTGCACTCCAGCCTGGGTAACATGAGTGAAACTCCGTCTCAAAAAAAAACCCTAATAATGAAAAGAATCCATTCATAGAAAACAACACAAAACAAATGCTGGCTGCGCGGTGGCTCACGCGTCATCCCAGAACTTTGGGAGGCTGGGACAGGTGGATCACCTGAGGTCAGGAGTTCCAGACCAGCCTGACCAACATGGTGAAACCCTGTCTCTACTCAAAATACACAATTAGCTGGGCGTGGTGGGGCATGTTTGTAATCCCAGCCACTCTGGAGGCTGAGGCAGGAGAACAGCTTGAACCTGGGAATCGGAGGTTGCGGTGAGCTGAGATCACGCCACTGCACTCCACCCTGGGCAACAAGAGTGAAACTCTGTCTCAAAAAATAAAATAAAATAAATAAATAAAAATAAAAATAAAAAAATAAAAAAATAAAAATAAAATGGCAGGGCACGGTGGCTCACACCTGTAATCCCAGCACTTTGGGAGGCTGAGATGGGAGGATCACGAGGTCAGGAGCTTGAGACTAGCTTGGCCAATATGGTAAAACCCCATCTCTACTAAAAAATACAAAAATTAGCTGGATGTGGTGATGCATGACCGTGGTCCCAGCTACTTGGGAAGATCCCCAAGACTGGATCCTCAGCTCTGGACTCTTCTATTTTTGTTAATAATACTATGAAATCTCTCAGTTCATTCTTCACACAGAAGATATACTGGCCTTTGAAAATCATCTTTCTGCTTAAAATGGTTTCCCATCAAAGTTAAGAATAAAACCCAAATTTCCAAATCCAATTGTGCCATGATTTATATCCAGCCACATTAAAATCAAACTTATTATTTGAAAAGATAGAGACAGGGTTTTCACTTTGTTGCTAGGCTGGTCTCGAACTCCTGGGCTCCAGCGATCCTTCCACCTTGGCCTCCCATGTGGCTCGGACTGCTGACTCAAGGCAGAAGCAGCACCTGGACCCGGGAGGCGGAGGGTGCAGTGGGCCGAGATCGCGGCACTACACCGCAGCCTGGGCGACAGAGCGAGCCTCCGTCTCTAAATATACAAATAGCTTTAAAAATAAAAAATGAAACAAGCGCACAGTTTAAACACCCACCACCCCCGAACCGACTCTCCAGGGCCCCGCGCGGCGGCCCCTCCGCAGCCCTGGCGCCACCGTCCCTCCTCCCCGCGTGCTCGTCTCCCAGGCGTGCAGCGCTCGGCGCCACGCGGCGCCTTCCCCTCCCTCTCCTCCGAAATTCACCCCTGAAAAGAGTCGGCTGCCCCAGGAACTCCACCTCGCGTGGATTCTGCGCCTGTTAACGTCTTCCTGGGAACGTCTGCCCACTGGGGGGACCCAGAGGCCGCCCCAGAGTCTCCCAGGCAGGGGTGTTTCTCGAGGCGGAGGCGCGCGGCGTCTGCCCTCAGCGCTGTCGGACGGCAGCGGCGGGTGTCCAGGCTCATCCGGGTCCTCCACTCCCCCGGAAGTGGAACGGCCGGGGTGGTTCTGCGTCCTCGTACAGCGGAAGTGGAAGCTGCCTCCCACGTGCGCTGCAGCTGCACGGTGGTACTGTTTGTATAGGAAGGCAGATCAACGTCTCGGTCCTTCCCTCACTGTTTTTTTTTTTTTTTTTTAGACGGGGTCTCGCTCTGTCGCCCAGGCTGGAGTGCAGGGGTGTTTCTTGAGGCGGAGGCGCGCGGCGTCTGCCCTCAGCGCTGTC